GAATTTGAATTAATGTGAGGTTTATTTGATTCCATAGTTTATCATTATTCCCAAGGTGCTTTGATGAATAGTAAACTAAGCGTTAGACTAAAAACAGAACTAAACTTTTTTTAAATATAAAAAGAAATGTTATCAATTCCAAAAGCTTTGTTTTCTTCAATAAGTTTTGTTTTGTTTTGAAATTTAATTGTGAAAAGATAATTCTTCAGATAAACTTTCTATTAAATAATTTTCTTAATCTGTTTATTTGCTAAATGATTCGTAAAATTGAATATTTTGACAATTAGTCATTTTTTTGTTTTTTGTTAAATTTATACGGTCAGCATTAAATAGTGAAAATATTTTACTTTCGTACAATATTTGGGTGTTTATTTATTAATGGGTATTTATGTATATATATGTATATATACAATAATACAATATTTGGGTGTTTACGGTATATATATATATATATATATATATATATATATATATATATATATATATATATATATATATATATGAACATATATATATATATATAATATATATATATATATATATATATATATATATATATATATATATATATATATATATATATATATATATATATATATATATATATATATATATATACCGTAAAAACCCCTAATTCTGGATGTAACTTAATTCCGGATGGTTTTAATAAAAAGTTTCATAACTCTTTTAATATAATAAATCTATGAATAATTTTTTTTAATTAATAAACGTCTTTACCAGACAAATCAAAAAATGCAAAAAAAAAATTATAGAAACTAATGCAATCATGAAAGATTTCAATTTGAAATCTCTCATAACTAAAAAAACAAAAAAAAAAGAAAAAAAAAAAACTTTGACTTACAACAAAAAAATTAAAAAAGTAAAAACACTATTTTGTGCAGAATTTTATGCTGAATATTTTAGCCAAAAAAAAATTAAATTAACTTTTGAAATAATTGAAAAAAATGAAAAACAAATTTACTACCAGCCAAAAAAAAAACCTAATTCCGGATAGAGGTAATTATTATTTTATGTACCTAAAAAATATAATAAACAAATTAGCCAACAGCAATAAACAAATACACTTTTGAGTCCCGGATACAGTTAATTACAATTGGCTATTTTATTTTTTATCACTTTCATGCACATAATATAATATATTATGTTCATTAAAGTAATAAAAAATAAAATAGTCACAAGGGAAAAAATAATTGACACTAATCCAGATACAGCTATTTTTTTAGCATCCATAAAGTTAACGCATTTGTGTTAATTGTATTACTGTATTAAAGAATGTGGATAATTTTAAACAAAAAGAAGAACAAGAGAGTCGAATCCAGCTGAAAGACTGGTGCAAAGGCGGTGCCCAGAATGTTTATTATAACAGTAGTAGTTCAGGCTGGATGGAATCCAAACATTTTTTGTCGTGGTTTGAAACAGTTTTTTTGCCTCACGCAAAAAACTTTCAGTATTTAAAGTTCTAATACTTGATGGCCATGCTTCACATATGAGCTTAGAGTTAAAAAAGTTTTAGAAAATTATATTTTACTTTGGCGTTTGCCGGCTCATACTAGCCATTTTTTACAGCCACTAGATGTTGGCGTTTTTAAAACAGTAAAAGGGCATGGAAGAGAATTGTCGAAAGTTATTTGACTAAAAATCACTTTCAAAGCCTGACTTATTGACATTTTCCGGCCATGTTTAAGGATCTCATCCAAAATGATGGGTTTAAACCTCAAAATGCACGGAGTGGTTTCAAAAATACTGGTATCTTTCCACTCGATCGTTCGCAAATTTCTTCTAAAAAAACTTCCATTGGTGCTGTGTTTCTAGCTGTCGAAAACAACAATATTGAAAATTTATTTGATTCTTCAACAGTATCTAGTCCATTAGTTATGGGAAATGCTACCAATACACCTAACACACCGTCAAGAATGTCAAATTGTGAATTTTTGCTTAAAAGCTTTGCTACTTTGAATAATGCTGTTCAACAAGTGGGAAAAGATATAAACAAATCAGTGTTAAATATGCTTCGAGATCAATTAACACCAACTCTAAATAAAAGAATTCAAAAAAGTGAGAGAATAATGCGACCAGCTAATTATAATATGACTTCGGCGGATGCCATAGCTTACGATGAAGCTGAACAAGCATCAAAAAAAAAAAGTTAGATGAACAAGCTGCAAAAAAATTTACTAGAGAACAAATAAAGATCTCCACTGCTACTCAAAAAGTGAAAAATACACAGAAAGTAGAAGAAAAAAAAAAAGTTGAGCCAAAGTTAGTCGTCTAAAATACCAGGTAAAAAAAGTATAAAGACAAAGAATCAATTAGAAGACCCTCATCTTCCTCAAGCTTCAAATAACATTTTAGTATCTGATGATATTCTATGTTTTTCTTGCAAAATTAATTGGACAAATAACTTAGATAACCAATGGCTTGCGTGTGAGCAAATTGGTCATGCATTGAATGTGTCTTTGATTATCGTCCAACCATGGAATTTATTTGTAACGAATGTGTATAAAATAATATATATTCATTTTTTTATTAAACTATTTCATTTTTTTAATGGATTAAAATAATTATTTTAATGTTAGTATTATTTGTGTATGTGTTTTTCTGTATTTTATACGCATCCGGAATTAGGGACATAAACACCTAATTCCGGATAAAAACAATATTTTTTAAAAATAAAATAAAAGATAGATTTATATTGTAAAAATAATATTTTTTATATCGTTTGATTTGCCTTGTTATGAAGTTTATTTATTTTCAAAAATTATTTCAAAATTCTTTATATTGAGTTAGTTATGACAATTTAAGTCCTAAACCATCCGAAATCAGGGGTTTTTACGGTATATATATATAATTTTGAATGTTTTATTGAGATTTAATAATTATAAAATTATAAATAATTGTCTTTTTGGTAGAGTTTTATAATTTTTAAATTTTTTTTTTACGGTTTGTGATTTAGTTAAAAGTCCTTGGTGAGTATTTAATGAAGGCAATTTTTATTTTTTTTTCTGATTGGGATCATTAATTTTAATTGTACAGATTTTATTTGCGTAAATTGTAATTAATTTATTACTGATGTTGTTGTTTAGAGTTGGTTTTAACACTAGTTGTACTAAGAAATTTTAATAGAGAGTAACTAGAAATTCTATTGATCGTACATTAATGTCCAATAGTATGTCAGAATAGTGGAATTAACCTGCTATTAAGAGACTTTTTGAGTTATCTATTTGGGTAGCAGGTGTTATAGATTTATGAACTGTCGTATTTATTTGTTGATCTGAGTGTGATTGTATTTAGATGATAAGGATAGTTTCTGCTTTAGTTGAGACCAGTTAGACTATCTTTTTTTATGTAAATTGCTACATCTCTGCCGTTTTTAATTGTTCAATTTTTATTGTAATGATTATAGTTAGACAAGAAGAAAATTTTTTCATCAGACCATGACTTATATATATATGATGTGTGTTTGGTTTTGTTTACGTATCATTGTTTGAAATTCATACATACTTTTTTAGTAAAGTTGCATTTGAGTAGAAGCCATTTAATTTGTTTAATATTTAAATTCCTGAAATAAGTAGGGTTTAGATTTTGTTTTCCATCTTTTTTTATTTTTCTGAAGGGATTTTTTAAAAGTGTTTAGCATTTTTTAAAAAGTACTTTTTCTGTTGTTTTTTTATTACTAATTGTTTTTTATTACTAACTTTGGACGTCCAATTTTATTACAATTTTGGACGTCCAATTTTATTACAATTCTCGTCTTTTATGTTTTTTGTTTAAAGTATTATTCTTGTTGTATTATTTAATAAAAGGTTGACGCTGATCACTTTTAGTATTGTTTTGATTCTATGTATTTTGTTTTATAAGGTTGTATTTTTGTTTTTGATATGTGAATCGGTAATATTGCTGACAATAATGTTTTTTCAATATTTTTGTTGTTGTTGAATTCATTGGTAATTTTAACCATCATTTTAATTTTGGTTTTTGTTAGTATAAGTATATTTTGATTTGTTGTTTCTGCGTGTGAGAATAATTTCGATTTGTCTGCTTTATAAGCAAGAGATCTAGGGTTTAATATATATATATATATATATATATATATATATATATATATATATATATATATATATATATATATATATATATATATATATATATATATATATATATATATATATATATATATATATATATATATATATATATATATATATATACATATATATATATATATATACATATATATATATATATATATATATATATATATATATATATATATATATATATATGTATATATATATATATATATATATATATATATATATATATATATATATATATATATATATATATATATATATATATATATATATATATATATATATATATATATATATATATATATATATATATATATATATATATATATATATATATATATATATATATATATATATATATATATATATATAAGTTTGGTTTAGGTGCCGAGAAAAGACCTAACGCTCTTTTTACAGTGTACCGCGGAAAACCATTTAAGTAGAAGGTTTACGCCACCTTTTTAACTGACGACGCCAAATATGCCCAAGGCTCGCATTAAACCCTAGATCTCTTGCTTATAAAGCAAGCAATCAAACCTCTGCGGCTGCTAATATATAACTGTTCTGATGTCTTTTTTATATATATAATTATACTTTAAACTTATACATTTATACCTTTACTCATACTAAAATTTTTAAAGCCTTAAAACATTTTTTGATCTGTATCTAAAAATATTTTTGTAATAAATTTATATATATATATATATATATATATATATATATATATATATATATATATATATATATATATATATATATATATATATATATATATATATATATATATATATATATATATATATATATATATATGTATATGTATATATATATATATTTAATTTTAAAATTTTAAGATAACGTTTTTCAAATTAATAGTTAATATAGATATTTCAAGAGATGCTACTCCTTCTTTATCTTCAACGTACTCTGCCTTATTTGCAAGTATATATGCCATTGATGGCGATTTAACAACTTTAGCACATTCTCGTTTTGAACATCAAAGTTGGTTTAAACTAGATTTACATTACGTGTATCAGATTATGCAAATTGTAATCTTTAATCGAGTCAGTTGTTGTCAAGAACGAATGAACGGTAATCTATTGATTGTGAGTGTATCGGACGAATACTTAAATGTTCCTGAAATAGCAACGTTGACATCTGACTTGAAGCAAACATTTACAGGTTTATTTATTGGCAGATATGTTTTTCTTGTTCAACTTTCCGATAATCCTTTGCAATTAGCAGAAATAAATGTCTTTGCGTAACTAGTTAGTTTTTAAATGTAATTTTTAATTATTTAATAATGTTTTTGACCTTTTTTGATACTATTTGCCAATTTTGTTGTTTCTTTATTTAATATAACAACGGATGTAGTCTAGATTTAATTGGTTTCTTCTTTGCTTTTTTTTAACATTAAATTATGTATTTATGATAAATATAGTTGTTTTGATTGACCAAAAAGTTGTATAGAAACCTGAAGCGTTTCGGTTCAAAAAATATCAAAAATATCAATATAAAATATTTAACAAGAGGATGTAATATAACCATGATGTGCATGTTTTTTTTCAGTTTTGTGAATTTAATCATTTCTATATTGTACATTTTTCGGTTTAAAAAAAAGGAAGGAAAGGTTTTCGGTAAATTATGCATATTTTATCAAATTTAAGATGCACTTAGCAAATTTTTAATAAAATGTTTAAAGAAAAAGTTACTCAAGATAACAAAAAAAAGCGTATTAACTTGGTTTATTTTTTTCTTTAAGTTTATTTTATTTTTATTTTAGTATAAAATAGGCTAGAGTCTAGCTAGCGTGTTTGTTACAATAAAAATAACATTTTGGCTTCAAGGATTTAAAGTTAAGTATCAACATCATCTTTTTTAAACTTTTTGACGTTTCATCAATATCAATTGACATCATCTTGTATAAAAAAACTAGTTACAATTTCTGCATATAAACAATTTTTTTGGCTTCATTAAAAATTTAATAGTTTTTTACTATAGTTACCATAGTTGCATTTTATAAACTAAATAATTACCATAAAATTTTACAATAGATTATACAAATAGTGTAAAGTAATTAATAATAAACAAAATAGGAAATAAAAAGAAAGATAGTTGAGAAATCATACATTCTAGCAATTGTTTAACCAGTAGGATAAATATTTTTATATTTGTCGGCATTAAATAGAAAACATTAAATCAGTACATTAAAAATAAGATAGAAAGGGTATGATTTTATTTGAGGTTTGTGGATTTTCTATTGAAGTGAATTGTATTTTTTTGAACTTACAATGGTTGATGGGAAGGTTCAAACGATGTTATCTGAAAAAACTAACTCATACCAATGCTGTTCAGTGTGTGGTGTCTCTCCATAAAATATAAATAGTCCTCATATCTTTAATATAGTTTATACTAACAGAAAGCGAAAATATTGTCTTTTCAGTCTTCATGTATGGATTCGATTTTTTGAGGTCGTTTTACACATTGCTTATAAAAAAGAAATATGAAAGTGGCTAGCACAATTTAAAGAACATAAAGAAAAGGCATCAGTCGCTAAACAAAAGATTCAGACTGATTTTATAAACAAAATGAGACTTGCTGTTGATTTCCCTAAAGTGGTGGGTCTGGAACAAACAATAATAGTAATACTTCAAGGCGTGTTTTTGTAGCATATAAACAAACAACTGAAATTCTGGTTATTGATCAAAAGCTTATATTCAGATTTTATATTATCTTGTTTACACTATATTCAGGATATAAAAAAAACTGCCTAAAACTTAAGGAATATTGTTTTAAGACTGTTAGACAACATGTTTCCCATTATCTATAGAATTTCATGGCTCAATCTGTGCACAAGGTACACATACATGGACATGGGATAATTAAAATCTTTACATTACCCATCAGACTTATGTCAGAGGAAGCTCAAGAGGCTAGAAATAAAGAATTCAAATCTTATTGCGAAAATTTCAGCCGAAAAACATCCAGAAAAGTAACCAATACTGACCTTATCAATAGACTCCTAGTTTTCCAGTGATACTGTTATTTCATTATTGCGTAAATCAAAATCCCACTATGCAAATCATAAAGCATTTCTTTCAGATGTTTTACAATTACTAAATCAATCTTCAAACGATATAATTGTTTTATAATTATTTGATGTAATTTAAAATTGACCATGTTTTCTTGCACTTTTTTTGTTTTAATTACTCCTTAAACATTGTTTACCTAAATACTCAATTGTTAATCGATATAGGTGAGTCATCACTTTGTAACTATGGAAAGAATCTGGTAGCTAAGCAATATAAGTATCCATAGCGACTAAATAAAAAGTTATCACTAATAAAAAGTGTGATCTTATATTGGTACTCATGCGAAGTTTAGTGAATATTGCGCTCATAAAATATCTGCAGATAACAAAAATAGTTTGTTGCTTAGCAAAAAGGTATGCATAGCAACGAAACAAAATAATATTTCCTTCATAAAAAGCGCAGACATCATATTATTATTCGTGCTAATTTTAGTGAATATAGCTCTAATATTGAATTAGTAATGAATTATGTCCAGTAAACGTGAATTCTGGCCCACTGTGCGTAGCTATCTAAAATATAAATATTTAAACAGTCCATTAAAAATAACGTAGCAAAATTAAATTTTACTATTTGCCTGAAGATTGTGATAACACATGAATCTCAGAGTTGCAATAATGGAAAAAGCAATGTTTGGTTGTTTTTTTCATTTTTCCAATTGAAATTTGAAAAATGACACAAATAAAACCGGTCCAATAATAGTTGAACTAAGTGATGTTTTGTTAAGAAATCCACTTCTTCTAGCAGCAAAATATTTGAGAAAGAATTAATTTTACAAATCACTTTACATAAGTCCAGATTTAAGTGAAAATTTAGGAAAGAAATAAAAAAATAGTAATCTATACACTTGCTTGAGACTCACCTTTTTCATATGGCATTTGTAAAAAATCAGATCGCCAAAATTAAAGCTCAACAGAACTAACTCAACTCATTTCAGCCAATATCTCTAAACGAACTAAATGTTTTAAAATGTATGTATTTAAATGCGACCTATTTAGAAAATAAATTTTGATGAAATTATAGTAATAATAGTCTACAAACCATAGCTGTTAGTAAAACATGGCTCAAAAGCAACATGGTTGTAAATCTAAATGGCTATAAGGGGTCGTCCATAAAGTAAGTACTTTTTTTTTTCGTCCGACCACCCCCCCCCCCACCCCCGCATTTTGCAATATGCTTTTTTGAGTACCCTCCACCTCCCTAAAAGTACCTACGCTTTTAACCTATTTATCTAACATTTTATGATATTTTTTTAAATTTAGTGTCTCCTTTCTTTTATAATTGACCCACTGACCTCCTATTTCATAATCGCCATTTGCAGACCCCCTTTTCACTCCGAGCGTACGTACTTTATGGACGATCACTAATCTATAGAGAAGAGACAAAAATGATGGGCGGCGGAGAAGGCGATGTGTGGTATATATTACTGAGACTGTTAAATCATTATAGCGAAGCGACGTTTTTAACTTAAGTCAAATTGAGCAATTTTGGACTAGGGTTAGGGTGTTTTTAAAAACAATAAGTATTTAGTTGGTTGTATCTACAGACCAAACAATTTTGTTGCCATGAAAGATTTTGATTTGGTTTTCAAAAAGACTAGAGACTATGTTAATAGAAAAGGATTACAAAGAGTTTGCGAGAATTTTAATTTCCTATCCATCGTATGGTCAAATGGATACATCACAAACATTTAAAATAAAAATGGCATCAAGAACAACTTTAATGAAACTCTTAGCAAACATATCTGTATCAGCATGTAAATGTTCTAATTTTTTAATAATAAAAATAATTCTGCTACTAACACTCACTACTTAATCTAATCTTTACAACTCAGCCGGGAAGCATCTGGGCTTTTGATCCAAGATCTGTCCTCAGTAACACAAATAAAGTTCATTAAGTCATCTTTTTCGATTTCATTTTTAAAAATAGGGTTGATAACTTATCGCACAACTACCTAAAGGTTAATAACAAAAAAGTTGATAAAATCTTTAACTTTATTACAAATGTTAATTGGGTAATGCTATTTAAAACTTTATCTGTTCAGGAATTGTACAACAAACTAATTCACTTTTCAAATGTAGCATGGAATCATTTCATTCCAGTGCTTCATGCATCTTGAATAAAAAAACAAATTGTTTTATGGATCAAATATGATCTTAAATCACTAGTTAATAAAAAGCATAATCTTAGATACCCGAACTTTTTTTTTCTTACATACCCGAGCTTGTAAATTAATCTGTCTATGAGTTAAGAAAACAAACTGACTTTCAAGTTAAAAAATAAATTAAAATAACTCGTCTTGTATATGAAAATGTTTTAATTAAAAGATCCAAATCGAATCCAAAACTTCTTTATAAATACCTAAATAGCCAACAACTAGTCAAAGAATCAATCAGAGCCTTAAAAACAGCTAATGGTGATATAACTCAAAAACCAAGAGAGATAGGTAATCTACTCAATGAATGTTTCCAACATATATCGTAAACAAAAAAGAAGGGGAACTTTCACATTTTATAAATCAAAATAATATCAGCTACAAAATGTTATGAAATAAATTTAAAAACCTTAATCAAAATATAGCATGCGGTCCTAATAATATACACTCATTTCTGCTCAAAAACTGTTCTGAAGCATTTGCTATTCCTCTAACAATAATTATTGGGGCATCTTTAACAAATAGTCAGCTTTCGGTTCAATTTAATTCAGCGAACGTAACGCCACCATTAAAAAAAGATGATAAGACTTTTCCCAGTAGTTATCGTTCAGTTTCATTTACTTCTGTTTTATGTAAAACTATGGAAAGTATAATTAGAGCTAAAATGGAAGAGTACCTGTACAAAAATAATCTACTAGAAAAAGATCAACATGGTTTTCGTTAGAAAATCAAATCATGTACCGCAAATATTTTAGAAAGCATTGACTGCATTTTATCAAACTTAGATATTGATATTTCAGTTGATACAATTTCGTTAGATTTTGCTAAAGTCTTTGAAACAGTTCCGCACAGGAGACTGTTAGCCAAACTGAAAGCAAACGACTTTGGTCTGCCGCTTTAATGGATTGCAGCCTTCTTAGAAAACAGAAGACAAAGAGTCGTTCAAGGTGAAATAATTTCTGACTAAGTTAAAATTTTTAGTATTGTACCACTAGGTTCTGCAATTGCAGCGCATTTATATGTTTTAAACATTAACAAACAAAAAAATTAAGCGCTCAATTATCCTCAGAGCTATTCGCTACTAATCTTTAAAATAACCTCGATAATGTCTACAAAGGGTCTTAAACTTGACTTCTTTTGTTTAACATATCAAAATGTGTAGTTATGCATTATGGTCACAAAAATAAAAAAT